TTTTGTTCCTGATAATGGAATGTAAATGCTATAGTAAAACATATCGAGGGATTGATGATATGGAATTACAGCTTGACCTATATGTTCAAGACTATTTTTCAGAGTTTGGTAAATCAGAGGGGCGAACCGTTGTATTTGGCGCAGTTGCGTTTGGAACCAAGATGTGTTTTACTATAGCATTTACATTCCATTATCAGGAACAAAATAGGCTTGAATTCCTGATCATAAGATCTAACTACCACATCTGTAGATCTGGTTGAATCATCCAATAATTGTTGGGAATTCACAACAATATTATCATATTGCTTAAATTCACTGTTGAGAATATCCTCCCAAAGTGGAACAGTGGCCGTCTCTCGCAATTCTGGCTTGATAGCAGGAGTGGCTGAAATTTTAGTGCGCGGCATCTGTATAGGGCAGATATAGGGGTTTTCAGGCTCCAATGGTTTTCGATCTGCAGGCTGTAAAAGATGAATCAAAATTTTACCATACCAAAAAGATATATAATTGAAGAGTGTATGCCCAATATGAGATTGGTTTGAGTTCAGATTAAAAAAATGATTATGTTCTAAGATATTGCAGTTTGATTACATTAATAGTTTTTTTGGTTATTATTACACGGCTAAGCAAATTGTATGAATATAATGATTAACCTTATTAAACTTAGTCTAATTCTACCAAATCTTTACTTTGATTCATATTTTGACAATATTGCATTTTTTCCCCTCTTTCATATTGATTTATTCTTTCCTTAAATCTTCAACTCTTTACATCAACTTCATCTCATTATTCTGCAAAGTGGTATATATTCCTCCTTTGTATATATCTGCCAATATTACTAATTATATAATAATCAAACCGAACAATCCCATTTCGAAAAACATACCAAAATTCGATCTTGATCTTCTTCATCTATTTACAATTTAGAAAGAGTATATAAGGTAAACTACATCTATAATTACATTTCTGCTATTATCGTTGATTAGTATATAATTCATTATAGAACACAACCTTTCTATTTATTCCAAATAGTTTCTTTTATCTGTGATATCTTTCTATCTTACAAGATCACTACACTATAGTATCCTTTTATTTACAATAATATTCTATTTGCAATATCTTTCTATTATTTCGCTACACAAATAACAATTCTTCAACTAACTGATACTTCTATAATTAAACACAACAAACTATCATATCTTGAGATAAGAATTTCCTTTGTTATTATATATACAGAATTCTGATTAATATATTTGCCATAGTTTCAGTCAACCACTTATCTATAATCATACCTATAATTGAGAAAAAAAATGATTTCCCACTTTGGAATATCCTAATAAGCGATCAGGAATAAGAAATTGTATTTCAAGGATATTAGATTATCATCGCTAATCTGAAAGATCCAAAGAATCCTATAATCAAAAAGAGCTGTGCTATAGCTAAAGAAACATTTATAATTTCCAAGGGATTTATATATAAGCTTCATAGTCATAGAGTTATAACTAGATTATCTACCATAACTTGAGAGAATACAAGCCTATTTCATTTTTGATATATTCCAAACAAATCTACCAATTCGAAACCTGATTGCCAATTAACTATAATAAAAAATATAATCCTGCCATTATCTATACCATTACTACCAAAGGCAAATACACTAACACAAGTAGAACAAGGTCCCAACTCTAGTTTGTATCTCTGGCTGAGAATTGAATGTTCATTAAACAAGCCTCCTAAATCCATAGTTTTTCCTTTGGTATATTCGAATAAAGCTGAACGTTGTTTGGAGAATGACCCTGTGGTTCTTGTAAATCCAAGGTCTTGATAATTTCGCGTACAGCCTTATTGTCATTAACAATAATTGAGATTCTAACATCTTTATCAACATTATAAAGGAATATTGTATATATACACTCCGGATAATATCCAGCTATCACAGAAGTAAGAAATAGTTCCTGAAGATTACTAGTTAGCTTCTCTTTCTGTATATAACTATATATGAACTCGAATTCTAGATTAATTATTATTAGCATTGAATTTAAAGATATACATATGTTCAGATTTGACTAGAGGCTTAATGTTGTAAGAATCTTATATCTGAGATATTGTAGTAATGTTTGTATCCCTTGAAGGCAAGTTCCTAATTGGTTTTTTTGGTTATATGTAATTCCATTTGATAGTTGCGAAACAGATAAATCGAATTCATCAGCAAATAAAGAACCATAGCTTGGGTTGGTTTTAAGATGCCTTCATTAACTAAGCGGATCATCCGTTTTAGTTGGGGACTCTAGACCTCTCTTTTCCTCTTTGTTGCTTCCAAATTCAGTATATTCATCAGCGGTAGAATCCTGTCCATAACCACTGAGTACCGCTCCACTACCAATTGCAAAGAATGAACTTTCGACTGACGACAACTGCTGGCTCTGTGTGGGCTCCGCTGGGTTCAACAATGTATTTATCGAACTGCAGTTGCTGCCAAAAGTACTCGATTCTGCTTCAATCCCGCCCTCTTCGTTATTGTGAAAGACTTCATCTGGTTGGCCTGTGAGTTCTGGCACGCGCGGACCTATGCTTTCTCTAGTATCTGTAGGACCTTGATATGGCTTTGAGATGTTGGAATGCGTGTTTTGTTTGAAGGTCGAGAGATTCCATCGAAATGGTTTGAGTATAGCTTCTCGAATCTCCGCTCCAAGAGCATCAGCACCAAGATTTATCGACTTCTCGCGGAAGGACTTAGATTCAAGATGTTCGATAATACTCGTGTAAATAGGACCTTTAAGAGGCAATTTTATTTCCCATCTGAGAGTGTGAGAAAGCTTCAACTTTAGGAGGAAAAGTGCTACTCACGTACTATTTGCTACACTCAATGGCAGTAAAAATGGAGCTCCATAACCCAACGAATTCGATAGTTGGGAATAGTGAGATCCAGCAGCAACCCAGCGCCTGAGATTCTCCCGTATTTTTATTGTCGTATCCTGTATTGACGTTGTGGAGGAGAGCATGTCAACAAGCTGGTTTTCAAATGATTCCGTGAGAATTTTTCTGCCTAAAATCACTACAAGATCGTAAAAGAAAAGCACAAAGAATCTCCAGATGATAGTATACCACACACGCTGGGTTTCAAGCTGATTGATACCCAAATACATTTTACGAAAAAAGAGTTCAATCGGTTTGGTTTCATCTGTTGTAAGATCGAGTTGGATTCCTGCCCAGGACCAGAATCTAAACGGATATTTCTGGCATTCTCTGTATCTTTCCAGAACTTCACCGGGTAGCTCGATGTTCGTGATCTTTCGAATTGATTTCAAAACTCGGTTCGTATCTTTTTTTGTTGGTAGTTTTTGATTGAATATGATTTTAGATATAATAGTTCTTGCCTTTGGCAACAACTTTATCGATTCTGCAATCTCTTGTACAAACTTGAAAATATATTAGTTATATTCTTGTAGTATTTTTTATTCTCTTACTTCTGAGTTATCTAACAAGTCTTCAATTGTATCATCTTCATTGTAAGCTTGAAGCTTTTGAATAATTGAACGAACAGTAGTCATTGTGAATACAAAATATGTAGAGAGGTTTTGATGAGGAAATGAAGAGGAAGTACAAAAATCCCTCATCGACTTTTATACTACGTTTGACGCTAGGCCAAAAATATAGAACTAATAGCCCATGTCCTTCGGATTTCCAGAGATGGCTTTCAGCTCCGGGGGTTTTCACATCCCCGCTTCCAGATCCCCAACCCCATCCAAGCGACGTTGGTTCTCAAAACCTTATCATTAATTTAAGCCTGCATCTCTCTAGGGAGTACTCCCGGACCCCCGACCTAGAAAGTAGACCAACACAGGCCATTTGACAAAAGCGAAACGTTTCACTACTTTTTTTATCCTTGAGTAGGCAGGTAATGAATGATAACAATATTAATATTGCAGAATTTCCAAGATATGCTAGAAACCCTTTCATCTAATCTCCAGAATGCTGTATAATTTTCCAATTCTTTTGACAATTTGGTATAGTGTTACAGACCTTTGTTATTTCTCGGGATATGCATATAATTGTTGTTCTCCTCGAATGGGAGGGGGGGGAGATGCGAAGGCCTCAGCAATGAAGTAGATCAATTGACAGAGCGAGACATAGTACTACAACTTAATCCGCCTCACTTCATCCTTCACTACATTCTCTCTTCTTTCCTGTTATCATTTTCTGGCTCTAGCTTGCTAACGATATCGTAAAGATACATATTGTATCTATATCACTGTAAAGAGCGAGCTTGTTGCCGTTTAGATTTTTCGATCGGAAATCGTAACTTATGCTCATTATGATAGAGACGATGTTATCATTATATAGTTCTGTCAACTCCTATGTAAAGAAGTACTGAAAGGGGGAAAAGATTTGTTAAGTATTCTAAATGGGTTATTGAATTTTTGCAATACTTTTACTAAAGTTGAATATATACACTTGTTCTCTGTCCCTTATTCTTGATTCTCTATTTTCAATTCCTCATCCTACTACAAACTCTCTCTTTCCTTTCATTCTTCTTCAAAAATATTGATCTCTATATCTAAATCTGCCCTATTCGAGCATTAACTTTTTATTAAAATTTAGGAGGGATAAGAAATGTTATTCATTTATACTTATCTTTATAACTTTTGGATTATACAGAATAAACCTATGATTTCATAGTTATTATAACCATTAATATTCATTCTATAAAAAATACATAAAAAACTTCGATATAAATATTCTATATATTCTTATTCTAGGTTATTATTCAATATGAGTTGGTTATTCGAGCCTTTTTGGGTAATCTCTTTTGAAGAATACTGTTTTTGGAAATTCAAATGCTATAATATTCTTGAAATACAGATTATTATATTAGTATATCTAAATCTTTTCTATTATTACTATA